GTTTTACAGGCACCAAAAGGCATAGCCATCATTTGGCACAGGAGCTTTACAGATATAAATTATAATGGCAGCTCTAGGACAAAGTATGCAGGAGGAGAAGCATGGCAAAGTTGAGATGACTTGGATGGGAAACGAATCACAACAGTGTGCATTGACTAATAAAAACTAGCAAATCCACTGTAAAAACTAATTAAAACTAACTTAAAATAAAGAAAAAAAGTCAAAATGAAATAAAACTAAACTACAATGAAAAATCCTAAACTATTATAACCTTGCTCAGGACATGCTATAATCACACCGTGTAAGGGTCGGGCAGTATTGATCATTTTCATACGGCGGTATAACCTTCATACCGCCCAAGCCTTAAATGTATCACTTTAAAACAAACAAAAAGGTCAGTTTTGTTTTATTTTTACACTAAACTCACCAAACCACTGTCATCCTCATCATCCGCGTCCTGCTGATGCGACTCATCCCCATCCTCCCTGTCGCTGTGGTCGTAGTGGTCTCCAGGGTCCAGGGACTCCTGTGATTGGTTGATTAGACTCCGGCTGCGACCGATGGTGCCCAGAGCCAGCTGGGACACGGGAGAGAGGAGGCTGGCGCCTAAGCTGCTTCTCTGGAGGAGGCGAAGAACGCAGCAGCAGGTTTTAGGGTAAATACGATCTGGTGTTTGCAATCGTTATAAAACTGATCGCTCACTTTTTCACCATCGGCGTTGGCGGCGTTCTGCCTCGCATTCTTCAGTAGTTTGGAGAGGGGCTCTGCAAACAGATGCTTTGACTGAAGCTTTTACTGTGCAACAAACACGCCCTATGATATTCAGACGGCAAATCTTGTCTGTGTTACATCAGTTCACTGTTTAAAGGAACAAACATGACATTAAGTCAATCCAGTTTTCTTTTTTTTACCTTTCCTGCGTCCTCTGCGAGGAGTGGGGCCTTCCTTGGTTTGAGGAGAGTCCTTCTTGTTGCTGTCAGGGCTGTAGTGAAAACCAGGATGATCTGGTGGGAAAAAAAAAGAACAATCACACAAAAATAAATATTTGAAAGCTACATTTCGTGGAAACTATTAAAAACTATTACAGTGTGAGTTTTCACAACTGCACAGAAAGGTCATGAAAACCTGACACTTACGTATTGCATCCATTTCCAAAATGGCTTGTTTGGCCTGAAATTTAAAAAACGAGAGTAAATAAAAGTCAGATTTAGCAAAAATAAAAATTGTAACCATTAGGTGGCGCCACATTACAGTTTTTAAGTTGTACCTACAGGTTATTTTTCAAGATCAAAACCAGTAGTTTCCAAACATTTAGACTTTAATTGTCTGAGAAAAAAGCATCTGAGTCACCATTTAGACGTCTGCACTGCAAAAATCATACCTATTATAATCGTCCATCTAAATAAAGTCTTACAATCTTATATCCACCAAAAAATATTTTTGATCTTAATTTGAGACTGGAGTTTGTTAAAGGCGTTAATGTTCAGATTGACTATTAAGGTTGGGGTTTGAAGAAGCCAACAATTGGGTTGGAGGAAAGCAGCTGAGGGGGCGTGAAGCTCAGTCGAAATGAAATAAAATAACCCTAGTTTCAATAAATTATGTCTACATTTTCACAATAATGTTACTATTGCCATTATTTTGTCTTCTAACTTACCCTACAAGGCAAATCAATCCGACAAATCATGGTTTTGTCAAACTCCGCCCACATAAATAACTCCGCCAATCGACACAGAGCTCTAGAGTGCAACCAGATTTCTTAATATTATGACTAGAAAAGTTTGTTAACTTATTATTTGTGAGTTAATATAAAAAAACCTATAAACCAGCTAAATTAAATGTGAGTTTGGGTGCACCTAGCTTTTGGGCTGGTGAAGTAAATAACATTAGGTGCACCGGTGCAACAAGCTAGCTGTTAGGACAAACTCCGCCCACACAGCCAAGAACTCCCCCTAGGTGCTGCAGAGACCCCCTACTTGAACGTTTAGGCCAACATCTGAAAAACAGACTGAGTTGTTGAAATTTTCATTTTGGATCATGCAGATTTGTCATGTTAAATTAATTAGCTGTAAACAAAAATCWAAYGATTTACTTTCTGAAAGTTTCAATAAAATCAGTCCAGCGGTTCACAATATATTTTGCTAAAAAAAGCTCRTCAGCAGTAGGCAATTTAAATAAATCAGAACACAATAAAAAGAAGAGAGTTCCTCTTACCTTGGCAGGAATTTTGGCAGGATGGTTTTCAAGTATGAGTCTTTTGAGGTGTAAGATCCACATGCGCTTGTCCTGCTGGGATTTGGCCTGTGAGGTGTCAGAGCACAAAACATCACTAAGAGGATTGTATCACACACTAAACCAGGGCTTTGTTGCATTAATTGAAAATACTTTTGATTTAAAATGTATAAAATGGTGTAAAAAGGATAATCTGATTGAAGGGCCGGACAGAAGTCATCCACAGGCCAGACGTGGCCCATGGGCCACCAGTTGAATAGCCCTGAACTAAGCTTTTTTTTTCATGGCTCACCCAAAACACAGTGGTTAGGTAACAATGAGCGCCTTTAGCCATTAAACACCTAACATGTCTGAGCAGCTCCGTGAGATGAKCCCAAATTCTCCACACGAACAAYGGGACACCTGAAAATCACCACCACACTTTCGGATTCTTGCGCAACGCTGCTGGTAGCTACAGAACCGTCCCAAACATGCAATTACAATCAAAACACGCTCGACGTTTGCTACCACGCCACCGTGGCGCCGTACCTGGACTGTGTGCTGCAGCTTGGGGTTCTTGTAATGGAACACGCTGAAACTGAGCGGCTCCTTAGGAATAACTTCCACCAGCATCAGGTTGCAGCACTGCAAGACACAGACAGGAAGCTGCATGAGAAGCAGAAACATTTCATCGGGAGCGAGTCTCTTCAGGGCTTCGAGATGCCTGACTGACCAGGATGTGAGCCTTGTACGTGTAGGTCTCCTCTCGTTTTTTGGTCATCAGCAGCAGCTTGTCGAACAGGAAGAGGGTTCTTTCGTTTTTGGCTCGCTGCAGACGAAACGTTCCCTCGAGAACGAGCTCCCCGTAGCCGATCAGATCGGGGCCCTTCCAGTTGGTCAGGAGGCTCTGGATTTCCTGCAGGAAGGACGAGGTTACACAGTTGTTTTTTGTTTATTCTGACACAAAACAGGAAAAGCAATTATGGAACTGCGATGATTTCCTAAGCAAATCCTAGGAATAATAAAGCGTGATTAGACTCAATCAGGGGTGTTCTCATGGGACAAGTCAGGGTTTTAAAAAACTGTTTTAGCAAATAAAACTTTTGCCACAAACTCCCGTCAGAAGGAGTTTGAACTCATTTTGAGAAGTGGCTCAAATAAAAAATCTGATCAAGTAGAAGTGACTTTTTTTTTCAAGTTTAACAGGTTTTATGTGAAACATTGAAAAGTTAATTTTATTAATTCCCCAAGTATGAGAATGTGGGACCGTTGTCAGAATTACCGTATTTATTCGTGTATAATACGATCTCATGTATAATACGATCCCCCTTTGGAGCTTAAAAAGCATAAAAAATTTATTAAAAAGTATTCATACACCTTGAACTTTTCCATATTTTGTCACATTACAACCACAAACATAAATATATTTCACTGGAATTTAAT